TGTAAGGTTGGATTACCGGACCAGGTAAAATCTTCTTGTTCAGTTGCTCAGTTCAGTTCAACCTGTTGAAAACCTTGAAAACTGTGTCCTGCGTCTAATTCAATTTTGCCATAGAAAATAATTTGCCACCTATCTTTAAATTAGAGTTTTTTAAAATATTTGAAATGAATGGTGACAAAATTAAAGCGACGCGCCAATTTTGCCACGGAAGTCAAGGCATTATAAACGGTTGCAATAAATCAACCACTAACTTTTTAACACATATAAGGGTAAGTCAAGTCCAATTTTGATTTTTTAACATTTAAAAACAAATTTTAATCAATTTATTTATTTTAGGAGTAAGTTTCAGAGAAAACATCCAAATAAAGTGGACCTTTTGAACAAAAGCCAAAGCTAAAAGCCCGCCAATAATTCCTTTACCGAAATTATAGGACAACCTCCAAATAAAATTAGTAAAGCTGCAAAGTTCATTTTTTTTGCGGCAGCATTAGTCTATTCGAATAGAAAAGCAATTTCTTTTGATCAGGTAAAGGATTATTTGTATATTTGATTTGCCATGAAAATTAAGGTCAATTAGAAATACAGTATAACCTCGATAATCCGAATTTTGAATTGAATAACAACTTCATAACTGCTCTAAACAAATTTCAAGAAATAAACCTTAATTTTCCTAAACAGAAATAAAGTATTCTTAACATTGGAAAAAATATTACTCCGTAACCATTAACCACGCTATATTTTTGGAATCAACACGTCGGGATCTATATCCCTGAAATTAATCAGAATTTTTAGATGAATTTTTCAAAAATGAAATTTCCCATTATGTATTCGTATTACCTCCCTTGTGCGAATTTCGACCCATTCTCGACGATTTTCGAAACTTAACTAAATATTTCCATGTAGATCTTGGGCCGCAGAAGTCACTTCTGGCTTCATTTCACAGATAACTTAAACCGTTTTTCCAAAATCGTCCATTGAAATATCGCAACTTTCAAAAATTACAAAAAATTCGAATTTCACACCGAATTTTTCGAAAATATTGCTCCGTTACTATATACATGCTACATTTTTGGAATAAGCACGTCGGGATATACATATCTCTGAATTTTTTCAGAATTTTTAGATAACCTTTGCAAAAATGAAATTTTACGCTATGGTAGTATTTGCCAAATAAACTACCTTCTAAGAAAATAAGGCTGGTGGGCTAGTACTTGCTAAAAATAAAAACACTTAAAAATAAAAAAATGACGAATTGAAAAATTGGATAAATGAGAAATCGGAAAATTATACTACTGTTTAATCGGAAAATCAAAAACTGAAAAATTGAAAAAAAAAAACAAATCTCATAAAATCAAATTCTAAATTCCAGTTTTCTTTTTTTTAGTTTTTTTATTTTTCAACTTTTGAATATTTCATTTGATAATTTGTTTGACAATTTAGCAGTTTTTATTCCAATCTTTTGATTTTTTAAGTTTTAACTTCACATTTTTGCAATTTTTTTATTTTTCATTTTTCAAGTTCTCAAGTTAAGATTTTTCCTTTTCACGATTTGTAATTTTTCGATTTTTTAACTAAAAAGAACAAATTTATTCGAACCGAAATTTTTAAAAATCAACAAATAATCCAAAAACTGAAAATTAGAAACAAAATTTTCATATGTTTTAAAGTTACGGTAAATATGGCAATCGGTGATCAAAATTACCTTCTACTCCCTTCCAAAAACTCGACGACAAAAAATCAAAAATCAAAAATCGAAAATTAAAAACAATAAACATCTGTTTTCTCGAAATTTTTAAAAATCAAATAACTGAGAAATCGGAAAACTGCCAAAATTGTAAAATTAAAAAATCGAAGTTTTTTTCAGTTGCCCAGAGGAATCAAAATCGAAAGATGGATCGAAAAGTTGAAAATTTAAAAACCGAGAAATTGAAAAATTTGAAAGTTGAAAAATCGAAAAACTGAAAAAATGCGTAGTACTCGCTTTGGCAAATGATCTACTCTCTAAAAAAAAAAAAGGCGGGGGGGTGGGGCTAGCACTTGTCAAATAACCTACCCTCTAAGAAAATAAAAGACTGGGCTAGTATTTGCCAAAATAAGACTCTTTTTGACGAATGACCTACTTTTCTAAGAAAATAAAGAATAGGTCATCTGCCAAAATCAGTCTTATCTTGGCAAATATGAGACTGATTTTTGCAAATGACATATCCCCAAAGAAACTAAGGGTGGGTGGGCGGGGCTAGTACTCGTTAAGATAAGACTGATTTTGGAGATGACCCACTCTTCAAGGAAAATAAAGGGTGGGTGGGCGGGGCTAATACCTTTTCTTAGAAGACTAGGTCATTTGCCAAAATAAGTCTTATTTTGGCAAATACTAGCCTGGCCCATCCGCTTTTTATTTTCTTAGAGAGTAGGTTATTTGGCAAATACTAGCAAATTTCGATCCATTTTCGACGATTTTCTAAATTTAACTAAATACTTTTTCTTGTAGATTTCGGGGCGCTGAAGACAACTCCGGCCTCATTTCTTTGATAACTTCAACCATTGAAATATCACAATTTTTAAACCACCACTGCAGATATTTGGTCAAAAAATTGATACCAAAACTCTTAAAAGGAAATCTTTTGTTTTGGCTTATAGGAGCTTGCTTTTATAGCAGTTAAGGAATTCATAAATAAAATCTTTTAAATTATAAATTCCGCTGTCGTGTATGATTTCCTACATTCTGACGAGTACATATCATAAGTTGATTCTGGACTAGTAGTAAATAATAAAAAAAATAATAATAATAATAATTAAATATTCTCAAGATTAAATTGGTAATATTCTGCACAACACACACCAATAATTTATTAGCGATATTAGTAAAATTAGCGGTATTGTAACTGATAATGTCAAAAAAATTTTGTAAAGCTTTTAAATTTTTTTCAAACGAAAATACCAATGAAAATGAGTCTAGCTCATCTCAAATAGAAGTAGGAAACGAAACAGAAGAAGATGACGTTTAGGTTGATGATTTGAATTTCATTTTATTAAACAGCGAATACTATTTGGATGATATTATACATTTACCTAAACAATTTAAATATTGCTCACACACGTTAAATTAAATAGCAAGAGTTGAGATACATAAAACCGTATCTAATAGCTCTGGTAATCTTAAAAAAAATTATCATAGTATTTTTGGCAAACTATCAGCGATTTGGAATGCTAGCTAAAGATCTACGATTTTGTAGGCCATTGAGGAATACTATAGTAAAAAAATATCAGACCTTATATTTATGCAACTGTCTCATACCAGTCTTTAAGATGAATTGGATCGGATCATCAAAGATTTATTGATCTTTTAGATGATCCAAAATCTCCATTATTTAAATGTGGATAATTTTTTGACTTCATGCCGTCAAAAAATCTTGAAATATCTAATACCAATAGTTCTCAGATAGAAGTATCAGAATTTTTCCAAAGACGTTATGATGTTAAAAAAAATTTCCAAATATTTTAAAGATGTGTTACTTCCGTCATCAGCGCCTGTTGAGAGAATTTCTAGTTCTGGTGGGAAAACCCTAACACCATCAAGGAATAAATTAGATGACGATTTGAATCATTCTTATTGTCACGAAATAAACCCGTATGTGTTTCTTCTAGTATGTAGATTGACTCATCGGCCGGTCGAAGCGGCGTTCGCTAAAGAAAGGCCTGGAAGCGAAAGTCGCGATGGATTCGAGAAAGACCTCGATTGCGAAACATCGAGAAGGGAATATGGGGGTAAGTGGAGACCACCTTCGGGAACGAGATTATTCAGACGAGTCGACTCCAACGACTGTTAAGAAGAGCCAGACAAGTCGGGTCGAGATTATTTTGTACATAATCGCTGTAATAGTTAATCGTGTAAATTCGAGTTATAAAGAAATAAATTGTCGAGTTTAACCCACGCCGATTTTAATCACCGATTATCGTAACATTATTTTAAAAACATAACAAAGAGTAGTTGTAGTTGAAGTTAACTGCTTATTTGAAAGTACTTTTAAGAGCACTGATTCTGTCTCAAAAATTCCAAAATTACGAGCAGGATTGCTGTGGAAATACCATATTATCTGTCAACAAATTTAGACTGGGGGGCGTGGAGTTCAGGATACTTTAAATTCAAATCCGCGGCGTCTCATTTTTTTTTTGTATTATTTTAAAACGGCCATTTAATTTCTCCAAATTTTTTAAGCCAAAGTAACGTTGATTACATTATACATATTTAAATTTGTCACTAATAAAATAATACTACTCAGTTACTCAGTATAACGTACAAGTATTCTTCAGTTAGTGACCATTATGAATAATAATAATAATAATAATAATATTATAACATAATCTTTTTTTTTAAACGTCATTACTATAAAAACCACCAAAAAAAAAATGTGAAAACGTGAAGAGTACTCATTCACTAATTTTCTGTAAACTGGAAGTGGTTTTTACTGAAATAAAGATCGCAAAACTCGATTGGATCGTTATAAAAAACTAACTTTCGTGCATCTTTCAATATAGCAATTTTTTCCACATCCAGCTTTTATAATGAAGACAGCTAAGCTCATAAATATTTATTCACGTGTGGTTATGTTAAATTTATTTCCTTCGAAAATAGAATCAAATCTTGCAATGACATCGAAATGTATTAACCCAAAACAATAGACTTAACCTCGTGCTAATAATAAAACAACACGATTGATAGACATTCCCAGCGAAGTTTATAATATTCATGTTTCGTAGTAATCAATATTTTCACAAATTAATAAATAACGCAAAACTCAGAAGCAATATTTGGCGTTTTTTTAGCTTGTTAATTAGTAATTTAAACAAATGGAGGAGTGTTGAATTCTTTTCAAGCCAAGGAAAATTAGGTTTTCATGTTTATTTAAAGAGCGTGAAATAGATGTGTATTTATAAGACTTTTCACAACGTAACAGAAATTTTAAATATTCATTGTAAACATCAATTAAAAGAACACTTACTGCTCAAACCCCCGTCTGTTCCTTGCGAACCCATTGTAGATTGTTTCAAGTATTCTTCCTCGAGTTGTGCATCTTAATTAAAAGTTTAAGACCGTGGCTAAATTCCAAACGCTATATTTAAACACCTGTTTTCAACTCTTGACTTTTTTCATGAGGTATTGTTTTTTCCGTTCGTCGTACCACCATCATCAACCGTCTACAATGCAAAGCATATTCCGGTCATTTCCTTCCGATTTAAACTTAACCCACGTCCAGCTTTCTTCGAGAAAGTTGTCACCTAACGTGCATTTTAAACGCAGCGCCGTCTCCCAGGTATCGAACGAAAATTTTTAATTGATGACGCCTCCAGAAAGCCAATTTTCCTCCAGTTTTCCACCCAACACACTTTCCACACAAACATCTAACCATGCACTGCGGTGGGCGCCTTTTTTTCCGTAACTAGCACGCGGCGTCGTTACGTCACGAGTCCTGCAGCCTCACTCACTGCGGCGGCGCCCAGCGTCGCCTAGATAATCGAGATTAAAACAATAGCTTCGGCTTTTATTAAAGTCGGAAGATTTATTCAGCACTGAATGCTTCCGAGTGACATAATTACCAACATAATTAACTCAAGAAACAAACAATGCCGGCTTTATTTCATCAACCCCTTTTCACTTGAGAAATATTATAGCTTTTTTTTTAATACGGCGATCGTAATTTTCAACGTGGAATTATAGGACTCTTCAGGAACACCGAGTTTCATTTGTTTTATGGTAAGGACCTCACGGAAGTCATTATTACGACATAAATTTTCCGGTAAAAAATAAAATGGGACGGGGATATGTAGGTCATGCAGGTGATAAAAATATACCCAGAACTCTACAACTGTAATGTAATCACCTATACAATGAGAAAATTTCTTTGCTGCACTTTACCTCTTCCGCATAAATTTTAAAATGTGATTGGTTGTTTCGTACGTACATTACTAAGCTTTACCAACCTTACAAATGTAACAGAATTACCTAATTAGACTAATCAATTTTTTTGGGAAAACTCTCAACATTATTAAAAACTGTGCAACCTTATTTACTTCAAATTTCAGAGGAACTATTTGGGTACGCCGTTCTGACGTTTTCATTATAATCTTAGAGTTTATATAACTTGAGAATAATGCAGCTTGTAAAAACGTGAAATTTATTTTTTGAAATTTTGTTGTAGTTCTTCTTAAAAAAAATACAACCTATACGAGAGCTCGCTTTGTATGAAGATAATACAGTATTTTGATGTGAAACAAAAACCTACTTGTAGAGAATTTTATTGCGCATTGAGCTGAATTTCTTATTTGCTTTTAAAATTATGACTTTTTGAGATAATTTTAATTGTAAACTTGTGTGTACGGCTCAGAAGGATAGCCTTAATAATTATCAAATCCATGTAACAGGATATTTTTCAATAAAAATTTATTCTGTATTTCTGTGGACTGAGTTCATTAAATTTAAAAAATATTTTTTTAGTTATAACTGTAACACCACTCATCTTTTTTGCTGTTTTAAACTGATGGTCTATATTTATTTTTTAAGATCATGCTATAACGTAAACTTAAAAATGTGGGTGGATTATTAAAATGTACATAAAGTTACATACTTAACCATCTTTTAACTATCTTCAGACAGACGGAAACGGGAGACCACTTTTTTCGTACTCTAGAGGTCATGACACGTCGACAAAATATGAAAGTGGCAATTCGTCCACGATTACTATGCTAATTTTTGAAAAATCTGGATTTATTTACTTTCGACCAATTTTGAGTGTTTCGGTTTCATAAATTTTCATTCTTTCAACTTTTTCAATTTCTCGACTTCCAATTTTTCCAGTTGTTCGTTTCGAGATTACAATTTTTCATTTTTTGAAGTTCTTGAATCTAATTTTTTATTGTCACGATTTTTGAATTTTCATTTTCATATTTTTAACCTTTGATTTTTCGTTTCCTTGATTTTACAATTTTTACAGTTTTCCAATTTTTCAATTTCTTTAATTTTTCATTTCGTCAAATTTTCGATTTGAAATTTTTCGTTTCGCTTTATTGTTTTCTTAATTTTCCTATTTTTCCTTATTTTTTCAGTTTTTCAGTTTTTCAATGTCCTGATTCTATAATTTTTTTTCAGTGTGAAAATTTTCGGTACTTGGATTTTAGAATTTTTGTTCGTTTTTTGATTTTACAATTTTTCGATCTTTAAGTTTCTCAATTTTTAAACTTTCGCATTTTTAATTTTTTGTTTCTTCATTTTTCAGTTCTTGACTTCCAATTTTTAGTTCTTTGAAAGTTTTTGTTTTGTACTTTACCTTTTTACATTTTTGATTTTGCGAGATTTAAATTTTTTTGATTAGATAAATTGAAAAATCGAAAATTAGAAAAATCGGAAAATAAAAAATCAAAAAACTCGGAAATCGCAAAAAAAATGAAAAAGCGAACAACAAAATGCAAAAATGGAAAATCGAAGATTGAATAACTGAAAATCCCGAAACAAAAAAATTGAAAAAAAATGCGTAAGTTGGAAAGTCGAAACTCCAAAAATTACTAATCGAAAATCAGAAGAAACGAAAAATTGAAAGAACATGAAACTAGAAAAATGTTCAATTGGAAAAATGAAAAATTCAAAAACCTGAGGGTTGAAAAATCGACAAATTGAAAAATTCAAAAACTGAAAAATTTCACATTGAGATCGAATAATTAAACAAATAAAGAAAATAAAAAACTAAAACGAAAAATTGCATTATCAAAAAATGGAAAAAATCAGAAGTTGGCACATTGAAAAATTGAAAAATTTAAACCTGAAAACTGGAAAAATTAATAATAATAATAATAATAAATAATATAAACAAACAAGAAAAATGAAAAACGAAAAAATTGCGAACCGAAAAATTGAAAGAATATGAAACTGGAAAAATCTAAAATTGAAAAAATTCAAACTCAAAAATTTCAGAGCTGAAAAATCAAAAACTACAGATCGAAAAATTGAAAAATCAAAAAAATGAAAAATTTCACTTTAAAAAAAGAAAAATTATTTAGTCAGAACACTGAAGAACAAAAAAATTGAAAAAATAAAGAAAATAAAAAATAGAAGCGAAAAATTACAAATCGGAAATTTAAAGAAGAGAGAAATTAAAGAATCGAAAAATTGAAAACTCGAGAAATTCTAAATCGAAGAATTGCAAAATGTACTAATTGAAGAAAAGGAAAAAATAAAAATTTGAAAAAACAAAAAATTACAAATCGAAACATTGAAAAATTAAAATTGAAAACTCGAGAAACTCATCTGAAAATAAAAGAATTTAAAAGCGGGAAAATGGAAACACTGAAAAATTGTAAACCGAAAAATTGAAGAAATCAAAAATTCAAAGAACATGAAACTGGAAAAATTTAAAACTGAAAAAATGAAAAATTCAAAAGTCTGAGGATTGAAAAATCGAAAAATTGCAAATCGAAAAATTGAAAAATGCAAAAACTGAAAAATTTCACGTTGAGAAAAGAATAATTATAAAATCATCACTTTGAAATACCGAAAAATTGAAAAAATAAAGAAAAATAAAAAACCGAAACGAAAAATAGTAAAACTCCTGAAATTTTAAATCGAAGATTTGCAAAATCTACAAACTGATGAAATAAGAAAAATGAAAAATTGAAAAAATAAAAAATTACAAATCGAAATATTGAAAAATCGGTTAATTGAATAAATAAAAGAAATAAAAATCTAAAACGAAAAATTGCATAATCAAAAAATTGACAAATTCAGAAGCCTTAAAAACTCATAAATTGAAAAATTTTAACTTGAAAACTCGAACAATTGTAAAACGAAAATCTAAAGAAACAAAAAAATAAAAAACTAAACAATTGCAAACCTAAAAATTGAAAGAATATGAAACTGGAAAAATCTAAAATTGAAAAAATTCAAAATCAAAAATCTCAGCTGAAAAATCAAAAATGACTGACCGAAAAATTGAAAAATCCAAAAACTGAAAAATTTCACATTAAAAAAAGAAAAATTGTAGAATTTAGAATATTGAAAAACCGAACAATTGAAGAAATAAAGAAAATAAAAAATTGAAACAAAAAATTACAAACCGGAAATTTGAAAAAAAGAAAAAAGTTAAAGAATCGAAAAATTGAAAAAATAAAGAAAAAAACAAACTGAAAAATACTAAATCGAATATTTGAAAAATTAAAATTGAAAGCTCGGGAAACTATACGAAAAATTGTAAAATGAAGAATATGAAACTGGAAAAATCTAAAATTGAAAAATGAAAAATTCAAAAATCTAGGGGTTAAAAAATCGAAAAATCGCATATCAAAATATTGAAAAATTTTACACTGAAAAAAGAAAAATCATAAAATCAAACATTGAAAACCGAAAAATTGAAAAAATAATTCATAAAAACTAAAACGAAAAATAACAAGTCGAAAATTTGAAGAAATGAAAAATTAAAGAATCGAAAAATTGAAAAAGAAAAAATTGGAAATTCGAGAAATTTCAAATGGAAGAATTGCAAAATCTAAAAATTGAAGAAATTTAAAAAATGAGAAATTGAAAAAACAAAAAAAATCGAAACATTGAAAAATTCAAATTCGAAAACTCGTGAAACTCAGTACGAAAAATTGCAAAATCTGAAAATTAAAGAATTAAAAGTTGGAAAATTGAAAAACTGAAAAATTTAAACTTGAGAACTTAAAAAATTGCAAACCGCAAATCTGCACAAACAAAAAAAAAAGAAAAATTGAAAGAACATGAAACTGGAAAAATCTAAAATTGAAAAAATCAAATGATTGAAAAATTGAAAAATTGCAGATCGAAAAATTGAAAAACCCAAAAACTGAAACTTCATATTGAGAAAAGGAAAATTATAAAATCAGAACATTGAAAAATTGAAAAAATAACGAAAAATTGGAAAATTAAGAAAATAAAAAACGGAAACGAAAAGTTACAAATCGAAAATTTACGAAATGAAAAATTAAAGAATCGAAAAATTGAAAACTCGGGAAATTTTAAATCGAAGAATTGTAAAGCAAAGATGTGAAAAATTAAAATTGTAAACTCGGGAAACTTAATACGAAAAATTGCTTAATCTAAAACTTGGAAAATTCACAAGTTGGAAAATTGAAAAACTGAAAAATTTAAACTTGAAGACTCAAAAGATTACAAACCGCAAACCAGAAAATTGAAGAAACGAAAAGTTGAAAGAATATGAGATCGGAAAAATCCAAAAATTGAAAAATGAAAAATTCAAAAATCTAATAAGGGTTAACAACTCGAAAAATTGCAGATCCAAATACTAAACAATTTCACACTGAAAAAAGAAAAATTATAAAACCATAACTTTGAACAACCGAAAAATTGAAAACAACGAAAAATTGAAAAAAATAAAGAATAAAAAACCGAAACTAAGAATACCAAATCAAAAATTTGAAGAAACGTAAAATTAAA